AATGCCCTTCCACCCTAAGAAGCTCGTATAGAAAACTTCACTCCAAATAGGATGGAAAACAACTGAAGTCCCAGCTTACAATTTGTTGAGACTTACTTTAAAAATTAGAATATAAATGTGTAAATAAACAAATAGCTATATACATTCAAAAAATGAGTTGGAAGTAACTCCCATAAAAATGTGGGCTTAGAACTCTTTCTCTATGATCAGTTGAAAGGAAACCACTCTTTTACTGCTTTTAAAATAGGTTAGCACAGCTTTTAATCCAGTTAAAAGACTTGGGAAGAAAATTTGGGGGGGGGGACAGGGAGCAAAAGGAAATTAAGCAGTGTTTTATTAAGCAGTGCTATTAATTTCTGGAGCTAATGCATCCAGCAAGCAGAGATTTTATACGACGCCACAATGATTTTAGTAACAGTACTGACTGGTAAATTCCAAATAACATACTGTAAAGTAAGTGATGCAGGTTCCTCATCAAGCTACCCAGCTAAATATTTGTTTTTATGTATCATTAATGCTCTGCTTGTGAAGAGTGACTATTGGTACTGATGCCTGAAGGGGAGATTGTATGAATATGCAAATAATAATTCCAGTAATACTATTTCTGTTTGAATATCAGTTTGATAGATGTTTTGCTAAATATTCCCATTTCAAGCTTTCCGCCACATGGAGTGAAACAGACACGCAGAAAACAACAGAGATTAACAACTGTCCAGCAAATAACTTATGGCTGGGAATATATTTTCCATTAGGCCTGCCTGACACTTAGGAAACAATACATGAATGAAACCCGCGTTGTTTGCGTTTTCCCCAAGGGTTTAAGGTTGCAGCTGAAGGGTTTGGAGTAAATTCGGCTTTGCTGGACATATATTCATTGGCTCTGTTTTGCTCAAGAGACCAGCAACTTTCAGATTCCTAAATGGGAAGAATTTGGAAATGGAATGGGCTCCCACCAGGAAGGTTCTTAGCACTTGTAGAAAAACAAACAGAGAAATGATGAGAGGCAGTATCTGAGCTTCAGAATCAGCATGTGCGCTTTTCATTGCCAATACATTCAAAACACCATGAGCAGGCCCTAGAACTTGGAAGGAAACATAATAAAGAGATTTTTGTTTTATCTTTTCGTTAGAGGGAACATTGGCAGGAGATGGAATGGTGCTGGAACTGAACATACAATCTAAACCTGGACATGGTGACAACAATAGCAGGATACTTTAGACCGCAGGTGAGTCATCTGTAGCTCAGCTCAGCTCCCAGCTCCCATTGTTCTTTTCATGTTGTTTCAGAACAATTGGAAAGGGCAACATTTTCTTGATTTGGAGGGGGTATATTTTCCCAGGTTTTTATATTTTTTTGAGAAAAGAATTCCCATCCTCCAGCTGTCTTGAGAATGAATTGGCAGGCTCCCTGCATGTGTGTGGGTAGTCCACAGAAAGGAATTACTTTCTCTTGGTTTCTAGAACAGTAACTGTATTGGTCTATTGTATATATTAAAAATCCCTCGGTGTTTTTTTTATTTGAGAGTAACCTCATCTAACTCTGCGCCACTAACTTCCGAGTAGACTTGCACAGGATGGGGGAATTCTTATCTGAGACAGCCATGGTGAAAATTGAAGCAGAGTCTTATTTGTTCCAGATTAATTAATCCAGAACTATCATCAGATCTGTTTCTGCCCACCAGCAGATTTCCCCTGCTGCTCCCACCCCTCAGATTTCCCCTGAGGTAATAAGGCATTCGGAAGAAAAATGTATGCATACCCCGTATGTTAGACCAATCCTTTATGTTGTCCCCCTAAAATAATTTGGGTTGGGTTTTTTTTTAAAAAAAATATCTATGAAGCCAGCAGCAGTGGGGGAAATGGAAGTAATTCTAGGCGGTAGCACTTTTTTGTTTCTTGTCTCACTGAGCTAGGAGCAGAGCAAACATCATTTATTTACCATTTCAACATCTTAGTCTGCAAGCAGTGTTGAGTAAGGTTAGAAATATACAATAAACTCAGGAAACATTCTTAAAATGCCTGCTGAAATGATAGGAAGTCTTCCCTAGCTGTTGGGCATTCAACTGGAAAGGCACCTGCTATTATTATTATTATTAATAATAATAATAATAATAATAGTGTCTGATCTCAGCTGAGAGGGAGTGCCACAGAACCATGCCTCTCAGCCAAAGGACACCATTAACAGCAGGTATGAAGCTAGGTGAGGCAGTGGCCTCAGGGTGACAGGGTCCAGTTGGAGGGAGGGGCACCTGGTCACCCTGCTGCTGCCTGCGCCCCTGCCTGCATGCCCACCTCTTCCACTATGTGGTTGTGTGCCCACCACTGGCAGATGGTGGGAACATTGTGCAAATCCAGGAAATGAAAGAAAAACAATTGGGAGTGGGTGGGTTCCTTGCCACTCCCCTGCCTGAGTGGGAAAATGAGAATCTTGGGAACTACTGATAAACACATATTAGGAAACCAATCTTCTTCCTTCCTGAATGGGGATAGAATTAGTTATTACATTGGTCTGGCATGCTAAACAAGCAGCATCGTTAGAATCCATTAATGGAGTAGTATTTTGGAATGTGGCAGAGTTCGGAAACCCTTCAAGTCTAAGGAGTCCCATCTGCCATGCAGCAAGGTGGCAAGATGACCTCTGATACGTCTTGCATCTCACTCGGCTCAGATTATTCCACCGTTTGTATCAAATGAAAGGAACTGATAAAAGTTAGGGGGGAGGAACTAATATGTAAAAGAACTTGTTTCAATTTATGCAAACCTTCCATTTTCTGAAGTCCACGAGAAGGTCAAAGTGAAAGTTCAAAGTCAGAAGCCATGAATCTTTCAGACACTGATTCTGATCAGAGAAATAAATGTGAGTTATGCTAGTATTTTCAATGATATATGGTTTGCTGGGATGCAGAGCAATCCTAATGAGGGGCTAGGGAGGTGAAGAATGGCAGATGTTCTGCATTTGAAGCCTGCTGGCTAAACACAGAAGAGCAATGGGTTGGTTTGTTTTTTTGCTGTGCCCTGGATACCAAGGCTTCCATTGCCCTGCTTGGGACTCCCTATAGGCTGGAGGGAGTTAGGATTGTAGCCATGAATAATAAATAAATAAATATGGCATCAGATTAGTGATTTTGTCCAGTTATTCTGACACTTGCAGCCCCAATCCCATCCATATCTACTCAGAAGCGAGTTCCATTGAGTTCATTGGTGCTTAAAGGTAAAGGGACCCCTGAACATTAGGTCCAGTCGTGGCCGACTCTGGGGTTGTGGCGCTAATCTCGCTTTATTGGCCGAGGAAGCCGGCGTACAGCTTCCGGGTCATGTGGCCAGCATGACTAAGCTGCTTCTGGTGAACCAGAGCAGCGCATGGAAACGCCGTTTACCTTCCCGCTGGAGCGGTACCTATTTATCTATTTGCACTTTGATGTGCTTTCGAACTGCTAGGTTGGCAGGAGCAGGGACCAAGCAATGGGAGCTCACCCCGTTGCGGGGATTCGAACCGCCAACCTTCTGATTGGCAAGTCCTAGGTTCTGTGGTTTTAACCCACAGCGCTACCCCGCGTCCCTCATTGGTGCTTAGTCACTACTAAATATGCTTAGTAATACTAAATATGCTTAACTCTCCAGTTTTATTGAAGCAAATGTATCGCCACTCCTTAAATTACATAGCAGAAGTGTTTATTTTCTGAGCATTTCTCTAAAACACAAGTTTCTGTATGGCAATACTGAGGTCTAAATATTGACCAGATTTCAAATAATTACTTTAACCATGCCCAAAGCTTAAGCATGCGCTGTGTTTGTTTGTTTTTCCTCTGAATGGCAGACTGCAGTGCCATATCAAAAACAGCCTTTAATGCGGTTTCAAACAAGCTTGGCCATGAGGCAGAATGGGCTGCTATTTGAGAAACACAACCTCATTGAGTATGCAAAACCAACTGTGGTGTTCTTCGAATCCAGCCTGCTTTTTGTGGAGCTGATAATAAAAACCTTCCTTTTGAATACTTACAGTGTTGATGGTTTCCATTTTCAAGTGTTGCTTTATTCCTATTTTACCATCTTGCCAAAACTAAGATACCATGTAGCATAATCCCAGGCATGTTTACTCAGAAATAAGCCCCGCTATATTCAGCGGAGCTTACTCTCGGCTAGGTTTGTTTAGGATTGCGGTCTTAAAAGTGCAGCAGCTTGCTATTCTGTCAGTAACCATGGACATATTTGTAATTATTGTTTGAATAAAATTAAAGCATTTACACTTCTAAATGTTATAAATATACTGAACAGAACAATTTTCTTACAGCAGTAAACTAGATTTTATAAAGTGTTGCATATATTTCAGTTTTTCCCTATAAACATTGGTTAACCCCACAGCCCTGCTACACACCCCTGGCAAATGTTCATCCCATTGTTGTTCTGGAAATTTTACATCTCTGTTGCACATATTCCTGGTTGTTTGTTGATCGTTTCTTTTAAATGGCTACGTTTCTTAACTCAGTGTTATCCGTAATGTCAGCATGGGAAAAATTAGCAGTGCAATTCTAACGATGTGTTTTAAATCACCGATGGTGTAGAATAAAGGCAGCCTATCCTTTTCCATTGTTGTGAGCACACTGTTTTACCAGTTCCGTTTGGCAGCTGACAGAAATATTAGCAAATTGCAAAATATTCAGAATGCTACAGTGAATATGTAAGACATTTGCTTTCATATACCACCTCCACCCAGGATAGCAGAGACCATAAGAATAAATCCATCACTAAAACTACCCCACTGTGCTAAAGGTCAACAGAGATCCTTAGGGGTGAAGTGGCACTTGCCTATCAAAATGCTAAAAACCGAGAGGTGAAAGAAATCAAGTACAACCATTATCCATTTCAGAATATGAGGCATTCAAATTCCAGTGTATCAAGCTCATGCTCTGATACCCAGAACAGAATGGCACAGCATGGCTCCATTCCATGACAAAGAGAGTAAGAATAATGGAAAATAATGCAAAGTTAGCCTCTTCTTGT